ACTCTGTCAATGTCCGAAATGCATCCACCGTCGAACTCCCCTCACGGAATCCGAACTGCCTTTCCGACAATCCGTGTTCACTCTCCGTGCATTGCATCAGCCTGTTCTGGATGATCCTCTCCAAGAGCTTTCCGACAGTATCCAGCAAGCATATTAGCCGATACGATACAGGATCCCCCGGCGGTTTTCCGGGCTTCGGCAACTGCACAAGCTTTTGTACCTTCCACCTATCAGGGAACTGACCCTCGTCCAGACATTTCTGCAACACCATCCTAAACATGTCCGGCAACGTCTGGATCGCCGCGTTCAACGCCACGTTGGGAATTCCAACCGGGCCGGGAGCTTTATCCGCCTTCAACCCTTTCGCTGCTGCTAGGAGTTCCTCGTTAGAGACTAGTTCAACGTTGTCTCCATCTTCCTCGCCATATGGTGTAGGTGGCCAAGTCGTTGAGTCATACTGTGGCAAAAGTCCCTTCACGATGACTTTCTGCTTGTTGGGACACATTTCAACCGGCATCGTTGGACCTCGGACCTTCGCCATCGCAACTCCGTATGCGTTCCCCCAGGAGTTGGCATCGGCATCGCGGCACAGCGCCTTGAAACTATTTGCTTGCTCAGTTTTATCTTTCGTTTGAGTGCAGCCCTGGCCTCTCGGAACACTCTGCGCTCCTCTCTATCTGCTTCCGTTCTTGCTTTCTGAGCGCACCTTCTGGCTAGAAGACAAGTAGCACGGAGGGTGCTAATTTCCTCGTTCCACCAGTAAGCTGGACGCCGCCTGTTCGTTGGCTCCAGTTTTCTCGGCATAGTTGTGTCACATGCCCTTGCTAATGATTTGGCCAACTCGTTCGCGCTTAGCCCCGGAACGCTGCTGTCTACGCTTAGAGCTTCGATGAAGAGATCCTTATTGAATGCCTTCGTCTTCCACTTCCGCTCGCTTACTTTCGTCCTCCAAATTTCCACCGGTGTCCATTCGCCGATACTGTACCGGATCGCCTGATGGTCACTATAGGTGTACTCTTCGCACACTCTCCCGATCAACTGCCCAAGCATTGAAATCTCCTGCGATGACGACTGGTCTCCGTCCAATGATCTCTCCGGTGAGTCCATCTAGCATCTAGCACTGCTCAATTGTCCATCTCGGGGGTGCGTAGCATCTACATACATAGATTCCATTGATTTTGGCGATCACGAAACCTTCGTATGAGCCCGCCACCACTTGTTGAATGGGATACCTGCCCATGACTTGTAGGGCCTCCATTCCTGCTCTATCCGCCACCCAGTTACCATTATCAAGAAGAGCTCGATATGGCTCTGCAATGATAGCAACGTCGCACTTTGTTTCCGTTGTCGACTGCCACTACAGTTGCTGTGCTGTATTGCAATGATTGAGATTTATTACCTCCATTATTGCTGGCCCACCATGAACTCTGGGCACCTGAAACTTCCGGTCACGTGGCCGTTTCCGTCCTCTTTTTTGCAGAGCATGCACCTCGAGTGCTTTGTACAGTCTTTTGCAACGTACCCCTTCTCTCCGCATTTCCTGCACAGATCAGATCTGTCAGGGCATTCGCAGTTTCTCGCCTGATGACCGAAGCCCATGCATTTGTAGCATCTCTCCATTTTCTTAGACACCCGAGGAACAGCTTTCAACGGGCACACTGACCACCCAACCTTGATTCGGCCTGTTTTCAGTAGCTCGTTAGCTGCGTCCGAAGAAAGCCGTATCGACGCCGTCTGCGTGCCACCATACGCCTTTCTCAACCGAATTGCCATTGGTACGTCTCCCAGGCTGCATTGCACCTTCAGCGCAGTTTTCAACTCGTCTTCCGTTGTGATCTCGTCCAGATCCCTGCACTCGGCCACTGACTCCTGGGATAAGGCTCTTACGTTCACCGTCCCGCCAAGAGATTTTTCGACGAGCTCCTTAAATGCTGCACTCTTAACCGTAGGATCCCTTTCCAGCTCAAATAGCATCTCGCCTTTCTGGGTTCGCCTGGTTTTCACCACATTTTCGCCTAGTTGTTTCAACTCCGGATCCTCTCTCACTTTCCGGAGGAGTGCTGCGTAGGACATTTTGTCCTTCGCCTCAACAACCAGAGCGTCACCCTTGCTTCTCTCCCTACGAGACCAAGGCTGCTCCTTGTTCTTCCTGTCTTCCTTCTTCTTCTCTTATTTCTTCCTCGCTTCCTCTTCTTTCTTCCTAACTTCATCTTCCTTCTGTTTTTTCTTCCTCGCCTTCTGGTTCCCGACTTTGCGCCACCCACCATTTTCTTCCATCTCTTTGATTCCTTCCTCGTCGTCCCTGCTTTTTGGGCTCCTCCTCGTCTCCTGGCGTATCCCTATCTCTCTTTTCAGGACGTGGATTTGTTGGTTCCTTCGGCTTCACATGAGCTTCAACCAGTCTTATGCTCTCTTTGGCCTCCAGGAGAGCCTTTTCGGCATTTTCGGGTCTTTTTCTCCACTCTTGGAATTACCGATTTGCCACTGTTATGCCGGATTTGATTCCAGTCACAAGTTGCTTGATCTCTTTGTGTACGTTGTTTTTATCCTTTACGAACACATAGAGTTCATCGATCTTCCTCCTGACCTCCGTCATGTTGGTTCTTCCAAGCTGCAGTTCTTTAGATTTGCTACTGCTGGAATGAATATCGCCTGGCAGCTCTCCTTGGGACTTACTGCTACTGCTGGAACTCGCAGTGGCCCCCAGGCTCGGCACTGGTGATCTCTGCAATATCCCGCTCCTTGCGAACACGTTCGCTCCTCCGTTTTCACAACACAAAACATTTCGGATGGTGTTCACTCTTTTTTTCTCTTCTAAACTACTGCAATGAAACCATGAAACGCTCACTTGACGTCCTGCATTCCACGGATCTGAGTTTTTCACAAAATGGATATGAAACTAAACTTGATTTTTATACAATTATAACAATTGAAAAAGATGCAGAAAACTTTAAAACAATTTTTCTATGTAATGATGGCACATAGTTGAACCAACCGGTGGAAACTAACGATTTTAAATTTTCCCACACTCGACTAGCCTATCGGTCCCAAGTACATCGATGAGCGTACCCCATTCTAGTCGAAATCTAGTTCTACACTAAGTTTGACAGTGTAGGGTTCGGACTTGATTTAAAACAACTATTTATTCAATTGATACACTGTATTTATTCTGTTTCCTCAACAATGTGAACCTACTCACTCTCCGTCCATCTTTGTTCTCCCCTTCCCGTGCTGCCATCTCCTTCAGGGTTGCCACTTTGGTAGAGCTGTGCGATTCCATAGTACTACGACGAGGGCTGTGACCCTACAGACAGATAAAATGAGAGGTTTATGGGGTTCGGATTTCTATAGTACGGTCGATGCCGCATTAACGATTTCAAAATGGCGTCGGATATCAATTTCCGGACTCTAGACATTACCCTGATTCCAAAAATACCCATATATTGATGGGTATTTGACTGTATTTTCCCCTTTTTCCCCTTGTCGAGTTGTTGAAAAGCAACTATCGTGGTAACTCACCGATTACCTGTCGATCTGCCAAATTTGGAAAGACGTCTGCATTGCATTGTTTCATATAATAATATTCCGCCCACTATATCACAAGAAATTGCGAGTAGCTGAGTGGAATGGAGATAAGTTAAGCATTGGGTACAGGACCAAGTCTCCCCTGGGTGGTGCCAAAAGAAGAGCGCAATAGAATCATCAAGTTGTCATAAGGCATGGAATGAGACTATTGCATGGCTGGGTAGTCAAAGTCTTCCATTCGTTAGTCATTTCAGGTGGATTAGAACAGGTTTAGGTGGGCGTTGGCCAGATTTGGATTTTTCAGATGTAATCCTGGATAGAACCCTGTCATTGAACGTCGCGTGAAAGTGGAACTTAATGAAGGCCTAAGTACTTTTTCGTAGTTTTTAGTTTTCGGATTTGAAAGATCGTCGGTTACAGTGGCCTGCTTACTGAGCAGAATAACGCGGTCCCAGGTCCTTACATATCAAAGAGATTTATGGTAAAATCGCTTGTGTATCGTGTATTTTGCGCAACTCGTTGTTGTCGTTGGTTCCGGGTTTGAATGGATACACAAATTTGAGCAACGATATTATGTGATATGAGGGGCTCGGTGGCCTTAGAGCAACCGTTTTTGCTTACTGAGCAGAACATCATGAGTCTAATCTCAGGCCCATCCACATTCAAGATTCGTCAATCGTTTTATTTGTTAATAGGACTACATGGTAATAACAGAAACTCGGTGATTAAAAAGGTGCTCGTCTGCCTAGTGGCAAACGTTTTTGCTTACTGAGCAGAAGACCGTGGGTTTAGTCCCAAGCGTTATATGATCGTTAGGACATCAATTCAGCTTATCGTTTACCAAAACGAACCCTGCTGCAAACCCAACCCTCTTATCCAACATCCCAGTGATTCCTCGTGGAAGTGCAGAGGTGTTCTCGGCTTCCATCAAAGCGAGTGTTATGTCAACACAATCCTTCCCATTCCTTTCTTGACCTGTGTTAGGGCGCGGCCGGCGCTGGTATTGCCTAATTTAAGATCACCAGTTTTTACACATTGAGGATGATTGCTAGTCCCAAGCATCGTCTATTGGTTCTCTGTGTAATTACAGCTGATCTGGCAGTAACAGAGTAGCAACCGTGGGCGGTCAATCAAGCTCAAGCTCAAGCTAACATGAAAAATCCACAGGTTTGCTAGACATCATAATTCAATAATTGGGGTGTAAGTGGGATACTCTGAAGAGATCAACGATTGACTCCGTACCATTTAACAATGCTGCTTAGAAAGGAATAATGAGTTAGAAATGGCATCAATTTTGCGGGAATTTCATCATCTCGTGTGGATGTACCCTAAATTGCAGTTATTTTGATATTGATAGCGCCTTTTACCCCTTATCAGATAAGAACCGTTCTTTAACGTTGATAACGAATATAAGCGATCGGAAGGAGGGGTTCGTATGTTTAGTCTCAGTCAGTCACACGGGTACCGTCTTAAGTGAAACAACTGTTTTGAAATCTTACAAATGTATACATCATGATTAAGCTGCCTTAGAGAATCCTGTGTTTAATTGGATTTAGTAGATTGCCCTTAAATTTAATGTTGAGTTCCCATAGCACGTTAGAATGAAAGCTTTTAAGCTGAGTGGATTGGTGATATTAGGTGAGCTCTTCCATCCAAGTCGCAATTGAACACTTAATGGACGTGTCATGAGCATGTTTCGCGCGGTGACTGTTTTTCAGTATAAATTCTCAAAAGATAAGATAACCGGTTGTGCAGCTATCATCACTGAAATGGTTGACAATTAAGTCTTCTGGGCATATTTACGTGGAGAAAAACAAATAAAGTGACGGCGAGCTGTTTGGGGTAATCCTATTCCTATCTATATTTTCACAGTATTGTTGCAATTGACATTCGGTCAAGAGCTGCAAGATCTGCTGCAGGAGGGAAGTGGGTCGGTTGGTGAAAGCGTGACGCCTTCGCTGGTGGACGATTACGTCAACTGCCCTCCCGATGATGGTGGAAATGATGATGACTCGGAAGATGCAGCAGAATCGGTCGAAGACTACGCGTATGACTACGATGCTCCACCGTCGATGCCGAGAATATCTTTCGATGATCTAGTAGATACAGTGGAGAATGCTACGGTTGTTGAACTAGTTGACGGTAAACTACAGGATGAACCTTCTACGGAGACAGATAGCGGAGAACAGAGCACTGAAGAAGTGACTGATTTCGGTGCAAGTGGTGACGAGGAATCTAGCGGTGATGGGGAAGATGTGTCCAGTTCTATCCAGCTGATCAAGGCACCGAAAATCTACAATGTACCGGATACGGAATCGCAAGATAACAAGTTCGCCGCATTCACTGAGGAGCATCCGGAAGAGATCGTTTTGACATCTCCAAACTACCCAGAACCATATCCCAATTCGGTCAACAGTTTTGAAGAGTAAGAATCTTAAGATTTTAAAACGAATTTTCAAATATTACAGAATGTTGCTTCTAGCTACACGGTTACCGGAGGCATAGGAGTACAAATTACCATCCACGACCTCGACCTGGACCACGAGTTCGACTTCCTCTTCATCCGGGGAGGATCAGTCACCGATAAGTACGAAAATGGCCCCGTTCTGACGGGGAAGATCTCGTCACCTGTGCGCTTTCTCGTTCCCCACACAACTACCTTTTCCATCCACTTCGTATCGCAGCACGATGAATCTGAAGTTCAGTCGCACAAAGGATTCCGTCTTACGTACGCTCCGTTCGGTACAGTTGTCTCTCCTACCACTCCGACCACTACGGAGATGATTGTTCCACGGGAGGAGCTACAGTGGATCCGAAAGGAAGTGTCCATCAGTCGAAACATGATGATTTCGGTGGAGACGTGGCCACTGGTGAAGACGGCCCTAGCGAACGCATCTAATGCATTTGTCGAACTGCATCAGCTAAAGTACAAGCCGTGTCGGTAAGTTTTCAAATACACTTAGCCTTAGGTATTTAATGTTTATCGGATATCGTACGATGTGTAGGCCCGACGACATTCGAATCCTGGCACAGAAGTGTCCGGATACTTGGCCAGGCTACGAGGAGTGCGTCAGTTTGGAGTTTGCCGTTCCGTTGCGACCGATCGTGGTGATCGAGGAAGAATCGGAAGGACTGCTCGGGTTGGATGGCAAGAGTCGATTGGTAGGGGGAAAGGGGTTCATTCCTTTGACAACTACCGAAGAACCGGAAGTGGAGTATCAGCTGGCGAAGCACAATCTAGAGCGGATGTGGAACGAGTTCGGTGCAATGGCTCTGGCCGAGGTGGGCATCGAGGTGTACAAGATGCCGGAAAATGCGTCGGTGCTGCTGATTTGGATTGCCATCAGCTTGTGCGTCTTGGCGGCATTCATATTTGTGCTGTACAGCATCTGGAAGATTGACTTCTTCAAGGATTATAGAAGGTAAGAGATCGATGGATCGTCAGTTCGGCCAAAGTTTTCTAGAGTGTTTTAGTTTCGATTTGAATTCTGGAGTTCTAGATAGGTACGAATTGCAGATAGGAACGTAGGGTAGCTTTGCTATACAATATTTATGATAGACTTTTAGTAGAATTCCCTGAGTTTCTCGGGAAAAAGGGTAAGTTCATGTCATTCGTTTACTTATCAAATGTCACTTTTTATCACAGAATTTCCAAGCTAAGCAGAGAACCCCAGGACGAAGACCGCGGTGAACTGAAGAAGAAAGAATACGACATTTCCATGTTCCCATCGCCGCACCAGATTGTCCCGACCCTATTCCCATCAGGAGACCCTTACAGTGAACGTCCTACGGAAGCTCAATACGGTAAATCCCACGTTTTTAGAACCTCCATTTCGTCAATTTTAAATCAATATCCATTCCCCAGCCTACGACAACTCAACCATGAACCCCTGGGCCGAAGACATGGATGACCCGAGGAAGTTCAACGGCAACCCCGCAGCGCCTAGAAACCATCAACCAAAGCAACAGGTGTTTGAGCCACTTTCCCCGCTGGACTACTCGCCAAGTATCATGGACTTTAATGGTAAGCTGCACCACGAAGGCAAACACCCAAAGTGGATTAATTTGTAATTTCGTTCTGTTTTTATGACGATACGGCAGAAATACCGGAACCTCGATCGCCCAGAAGGAGCAGAGTTAATCCCTTTCTACCGCCCAGCAACGGGGGCAGTCCAGGCGGCAGAGGCGGCGGTCAGTGATCGTCGTAAAATCGTTTGGCAAGTTAATTAAAAACTGTTTGGTTTGTTATTTTAAAGACTTTTTCTGTAGCCAATAAGTGGATATCGTATTAAATATATGCATATAAGTAGAGTACTCTCAAAATGGGTTCAACTCGTGCTGATTGGATTTAGTGGCGTGCTGTGAAGGAGCCATTATCGATACGGGGTGGGGCGGCGACTTTTCAAAGCAATTAATTTTAATGAAACTAACTTATGCGAATCACGTTGATCCCAATTTCGGTAGAAATTTGTGGCAGTAGCATTTTGTTCATTTTTGTATGAAATATTAATAAAATCAAACAGAGCAAACGTTTTATTGAACCCAGCACCAAAGTCGAGCTTGGAGAGAACCTACGTTTCATTATAAAGCACTGCCTTTGTCGGCACGATTGGTTGCGGCTTGAAAACCTTGTCGAGGGTGCGATTAAAAATTCAGTCATCACATTTCATTTCTTCATCAAGTTGGAACGAGATGCTGCGATTATGTTTGTCTGACAGAGGGAGTACAAGGAACGAAAATGAGCGTGTACAGAGGTAAGGAAGGGTAATTATGCAAAGTAAAATGATGATAATTATTTGCAATTAAAGTCGGGTGACGAAGGATGAAGATGGAGAAAAATATCTCCTTTAAATTGGATCAATTTAATAAAGGTGATACAAATTTTAATTATTATTTTCTTGGTGGCATTACATTTCTGTGATCGCATCGACTCGAAACCTGCTTGAATGGAATGCCTTCGTTGCAGGAATTATATTGGAGTGATTTCGATTGCCTCACATTTCTTATGTATTTTTTAAGTGTTAAATTCCAAACATTCACCCCAGAAGGGGTGCTCAGTGCAAGGTAGGTATACTATTCCAGTTGGTAACAAGGGTGCTGTTGGGAAGAATGGCCTCCCTAATAAAATTGTTATGGTTATTTTGCTTAACGACGTGTTCGGGGTATCATCCAAACCATTTGTGAAATAGTTCTATTATTTGGGTTATCGTTCGCTTATGGTATTTTTTTATTAGGGCTTCTATGCATACGCAAAAAACAGGATGCTCAAACATTGTTGAATGTCAAATTTTGTAGTATGAAAAGGATTTTTTTTTTAAATAAACAAATACTATTTGATTTTTTTTTAAATATAATAGAAAAACACGATTTTGTTTGCTTGAAACTGTTCTGTTGCTTTCAAAAGAGAAATTTCATCTTTTGTATTTAACTGAATATTATTTGAATGCAGACCAAAATAGCCATTAAAATTAAATACTTGAATCGGTTTACTATAAAAAAAAAATTTCAATTTATATAGCACAAAGTACTTCGTGGCGGAGGAGGTTCTAGTTATTTCCGGTGAAGATTATCGATAATGCCAACGAAAGTTCCAGTAAATTGTTCTCACGTTCTCGACGAAGCAGGCCCCAGTCCATTTCCGGATGCTACAAACGTAGGTTCCAGTTTATGTTTATGACGTTATCGACAAAGGAGGTTCGAGTTGATTGCGGTTGACATTTCTGATGCTGCCAGTCAAAATTCCAGTGGATTTTAACGGAGATTGCTGACGATGTTGTTAGCAGAGGTTCCACACGATTTTGGTGATGATTAAGATGCTGTCAACGAAAGTTCTAGTGGATTTTACTCAAGTTTTCGACAGAGGAGGCTTCCCATGATTTCGGTGAAGATTTTAGATGAAGCCAACGAAAGTTTCTGTGGATTTTGGAGGAGTTTTCTCAAGCTCTTGATGGAGCAGATTACACACGATTTTGATGAAGACTACTGCCACTGGAAGTTCTAGTGGGTTTCAGCGGAGGAGGTTCCGCGTGATTTCGGTGGCGATTTTAGAAGCTGCCATCGAAAGTTTCAGTGTATTTCGACTGAGTTTGCGGACGTATTCGGGTGATTTCGGTGGAGATTTAAAATGTTGCTATCGGAAGTACTGAATTCTCGATTACGTTTTCAAAGGGACGAGTCTGTTTTTGTGAACAAAGATTCAAAAGTAAATTTTTCGAAACTCTGAGTACTCCCACATGAATTTACATCATCAGGATAATGTTCCTCTTATAGTACGTTCAGACTACAGAGTTATAACATGTTACAGCGCTATCTTGATGGTGGTTTCTGTGTTTCAATTATTCGACAACCGTTATAACATGTTATAACTGCTCAGTCTGGACAGCGTTTTACAATATGGTGGCTATTTTCACATAAATGGCGCTGTTCCATTGGTAGTAATAAAAATCCACATATAGAAATTTGGGAAAGTGGAAATAATACATGTTTGATGTATATTGCAAAACAAGTTGACGACAACCTAAATAAATCATTCATGAACTTTGTCGTTCACTTTTTACAGGAATGTATTGTTAAACAAGCTACAGTTAATAAAACAAAAGTTGTTATCCGTACATTTTTTACCCAGTACTAAACTCAAATTTGAGAAAGAAAATTCTCTCTCTTCACGAGTGTGGTGTATACCACCCTTAAAACGATAAGCTAACGATTCTGTGTAGCACTCGAAGAATGAATGTTTGTTTATGTGTTATAAAAATAAACACAGCGAGCTGGCACTTGAGCTCAGATTCTGTTGACTGCAGAACGAACAACACTTGTTTTTATTCCTCCGACTCATCTACAAGATTCCTTTAAATTATAGTTAAAAGTATTATTACAAACTAGTGGATATAAAAACCTCTCTACCTCTCAACATGCCATGCAGTTTGATGACACAGGATTTGCGATTTCCCTCTCACAGACTTCAAAATAGAGTACCTGACACTGCAAAACATATCAGGTACCTCTGTATATGCATTCAGATTTACATCATCGTTTTGAATGATTTGCGTTATGGGGCTGAACCAATACCACATGCATTTCCATTTAGTATGACAATCATTCTGCAGAGAACATTACGCATTTCAACTGAAGGCCTATCCCATCTCATAACAATTTTCATCCTGTATTCGAGAGGAAAATCATCTGATTTCAAAACAACCGTCATCCGGTTGCAGCTATCTTTCGAAAAAGTGATTTCGATGTTTCGTTTCGAATGGTCTGAGGTTTCATTCGATCAGAGGAGGATGTTTGTGTACAGTGTACTCGAAAGACACTGTAAGCTTAATACAAAGCCAACATTGTGCAATCAGTCCGCATCGTGCTCTCTTGCCGTGCGGATCTATTTGCTTTTTGCTGAAGGAAGTGTGACTACTACCTAAAGCTACAACTAATTAAAACAGCCCTTTTCAGTGCTCAACCTGTAAAATGTCTACCTTTTTCAACTCTTATTCCTCTTCGATCCTTGTTTGGACCCTACCCGAGGTAATCCTTCTTGGATATCGATTTGGAAAATTCCTCTTCGATCGTTCAGATTCTTATAGTTATCTGCTTGGAAGTCGATTTGGATAAAAATTTACTGCCGCCATGGCGCCTAAACGCAAAAGAAAGGGCCAAACTCTTGATCCCCCTTCTGATGAAATTAATTTGAGCAATCAATTTGATTTGCTCACGGATAATGAGAATGATCCATCATCCAAGAAAAATTCTAGTAAACTTTCCCGGCTTAATGCCAAGAAGGAAAAGATTCCCCCTATTGTGATAACCACTTCCGATTTCCATGCTCTTCGCATGGAACTTTTGAACTTCGTGGAAGTTAAGTTTTCACTACAAATTGGACGTCGGGGTGGATGCCGTGTATTGTCTGAAAGCTTGGACGGATTTAAATGTCTTCTCAAGTATCTTACTGAGAAGCAGCACAAATTTTTTACTTACGACACCAAAACTGAACGTGTGTTCAAGGTTTTCATGAAAGGACTGCCCAGTGGTGAATCCCTGGATCAGATCAAAGATGAACTGGCAAAATTACTTGGAGTTGTGCCACTCCAAGTAATCAAAATGAAAATGAAATCCCGTCCTGGCAATTCGCGCAACGGGATTTCTAATGATTTTCTAAGGAAATTTCCAGAACCTCACCCAGTGCCGTAAGTGCCAGGGATGGGGTCACGGAACTCAAAATTGCTAACGGGTGTTCAATAAAAAATTAGATTTTTTTCAGTCATATAGCTACACAGATAAAAATTCTGAATTTTAATTGTGATGTAAACATTAATTCGTAGACTTGTATTTCATTTCACGCAACCGAGCAACTTGCAAACAATATTGTTTACAAAGATGGGCTTTTGTATACAATATTTGCTGCATTGCATGAAATGTGTCAGAACTTTACATGATATATAATGTAAACGTATATGATATATAACGCTCCATTTATGTGCATCATATTGAACATAAATTTACACTACTTTTTCGAACTGTGTAGTAAGATTTTTTTTCACTGAATTCAGTATTTTTCATTAAAAACATAATGTTTATTCTTCAAAAAAACGTCAATGAATATTGGAGAAGGGGCCTGGTCAGCCGTATGACGCAACTTAGTCGCGATGCTCTCACAAGAGCGCTGGACGGCACTGATATCATTCTCATTTTTTATTGAACACCCGTTACATGTTAGCTAAATGCATGAATTGTGGTGATTCCTCTCACGCAAAGGACAACTGTCCTGTGAAGGAAGATCCTAAGAAATTTAAATGTTCAAATTGTGGTGAAAACCACAAATCCAATTTTTGGGAATGTAAGACTCGCAATCTCGTTCTAAGCGACAGGTAGGAAACGCTCCACGTTTCCGAACAGGTACAAATTACTCTGCTGTTAACAACGGTTAGCGAGGAACAAATTCTACATTCGTACCCGGAGGTACAAATATCACCCCTGCTTCAAATTTTTCATCTATACCTACTCCCCTCGCTGCTAATAATGTTCAGCGTGTTAATGGAGCTACCTATGCAACGGGTAGAAATCAAAATACTAACCAACGTAATTCTAACGGAAATTTTGACAATTTTGACTTAGGAAGCATTACTGCCCCTAAAATGGATTTTTTACAAAAATCATTAATTGACATGTATAAGAGATGAACTAGCCTCAGGCTAAAAATCTCTAAAATAAAGAAAAGAAAAAAAAAAAATAATTGACATGTTTTCTGATATGCTTAAATCTAACTCCATGTTTGACTTTAAAATTCAGTAATGGATTTTAAAGCATTAAATATTTTAAATTGGAATGCTCGATCTCTTAAAGATAATGAAGACGAGCTATTTAACTTTTTGAGAATTCATAACGTGCATATTGCCGTTATAACTGAAACGTTCCTTAAACCTGACCATAAGGTTAAGAAGGACGCAAATTACTTGATTTATAGAAATGATCGTCTTGATGGACCTTGTGGTGGCGTTGCCATCATTGTTCATAGACGAATCAAACATAAAATTCT